TGATAATTTTGAAAATGAGCCCATAACCAAAAGTGTTGAAAATGACATAACTGAAGGTGGTAATTCTGAAGATGAATCTGAGAATAGTCCACTAAGAGAAATACATACCGAGCAGACCTTTACTTTTTTTGAAGTGCTTGAGCAATGCTTAAAATGCTATTCAACTCGAATGAGTTTTAAAACAAAGATAGTACAAGTTGAAAAAAGAAGACAATATTTCTGTTCGAAAAATATATAAATGCCGACATGGTAGTAAATATTCACCAAAAAAAGGTAGATTCTATGAAAAATCAAGAACGAGAGTCAGCATATATTGATTGTAAGTTTCTGCTAAATGCTTCATATCGAAAACATCCAAATCTTGTCTTTATCAACAAGTTTAATGAGAAGCATACTCACAATTTGAGTAATAGTGAATTGCTTCAACAATTTTCACCATCTTTTCGAAAAGTACCTTTACATATAAGAGAAGAAAACTAATTTTATGTTCAAGAATTTCATTTAGAAGCTAATGTTTTAAGACAGATATTATATAATAAGTTTCCTAAACAAAAAATATTTAATAGAGATCTTTATAATATGATAAGCAAATTTAAATCTGAAGCTCAAAACAAAAATGATGCATTGACTTTGTATGAATATTTAACAAAGTTAAAACAAGAAATCCCGATTGGTATTTTAAGGTTGATTTTAAAGGTATAGACAATAGGCTTTTCAGAATTTTTTGGATATCGCCTAAACAAAAAGGTTTGTAGGCCCAGTTCCATGATGTTGTTATTAACAACAATATATGCAAAACAAACAAATATATGATGCCTTTGAGTGTCTTTGTTATAATTAATTTAAATCATCGAAGCCAAATTGCAGCTATAGCTGTGGTTTGTAATGAGACTGTATCAACCTATGAATGAATTTTGGAGCAAACAAAATTAGCTATCAGCAATCTTCAACCAAAAGTGATTTTTACTGATGTGGATTTTGCAATGCAAGTGGCTTTATCTAATCAATATCCTGAAACCATAGTTTGGTACTGCACATTCCATATTCATCAAAATTTGGTTAAAAAAATTAAAAAAAAATATTTTTTTTTTTTAATATGTGTTTAAATATATTTGTTAGTCTGTAATCTATCTGAATATCTTTCTTTTTT